CAATTATTGTATAAAATACGGCGCATTCTGCCTTTAAAAAGGCTGCCGTGACTCACAAAGGTGTAGCAGGCGCGGAGGTTAGAGACGGCCGAGATGTTGAGTTTATGCTAAGCTATTCCATCGCCGCTGCATTGTCTCTGTCCCTCCTCCTCAGACTTTATCACCGCTCCACACGCAGACAAACTCCAGTCCCCGGACGGACTGTTGACAAGGAACGGAGTGCAGTCACACACTCAGGTGTATGTAGGCTGGTATATTCTAAAATTTGCACTTTTCTCATTATAAAACTGTGTCACTTGAATGAGCAAACACCTGCCAAGGTTCTATACTAATGCATACTGTCCCTAGATAGATGGAGGAACATGGAGGGAGGGGTGGGGGGGGGGGCGAGAGAGAGGGCAGCAGAGAGAGTGAGAGAGGGAAAATAAATGTGCAAACACGATCGATTTTTCAGCATAAAAGTACAGCAGTAATCGACTTTGCATTTAGTCAGTCATTCTGTCTCTGACTCTTCATGTTCAAATGCAGTAAAGACGTGAAGACCAGCAGCAGCTTCACTTCACCTGCTGCTGCTGCTGCTGGTGGTGAAGGAGGAAGGTGGTGTGTGTGTGTGTGCAGCCAGGAGGGATATGTGTGCAGCTTGGCATGAAAAGCCAGTGTGTGTGTGTGTGTGTGTGTGTGTGTGTGTGTGTGTGTGTGTGTAGAGCTGGAAGCTGATGTGCTGTGTTGTCTGCTCCGTGATATGCTCCAATTTTAGTGATGCTCTGGCAACACACTGGTGAATCATAACACCATCAGCTGTGTGTGTGTGTGCGTGTGTGTTTGGGAATAGATCTGTTTCCCCCAAAATTGCGCCAGAGCAATTATGTGTAGAAATGTTATACAGTTTACTTTTGGTCTGACAGTCTCATAGATTTAGACTCAGAAAAAAAAGAAAAAAAATCCCACAGCCATATGTTCTGGTTTCAAATCACTGTGTTGACAAGATGCAACAATATGTGCAGTAATATCATAGAACGCAGTAAAATAGCTGTATCTGAGGTCCTGACAACAGTCACACACCGGCCATGCTGTGGTACGACAGAGCAGAGTGAAAAACTACACAGCAAAAGGTTTTGTATTTGTTTTAAGATATATCTTAAGATGAATATTTTAATGTGTCACTACAGTACCACACAATACCACACTAAACTATATTACTACTGAGAAGTATAAATACACATATGAATAATAAAGTATATTTAAATAGAAATCCAATCCATGATTCACTGCATGAATTTTGTACGTGTTTTACTTGTATTTCAATGAAACACAAACACAATAAGAGAAAACACACAAAACAAACTGTCACCAAATTTCTCAAGAATTGTTTTTATGATACAGTATATTCAGTATCTCTGCAAACACACAAAGAAACAACACTATAACTGCCAGCTAAATTAACACACACACACACACTCGGCACAATGGCCAGTGGAGGGCGTCTCTGTTACCAAGAGTGGTACGCGAACCATAGTTTGAGGACCCAAGGTTTTTTCATTGCTGTCTATTTCATTTGTATAAACCGTGAAACACAGAGAGAGAGAGAGAGAGGGAGAGAGAGAGAGAGAGAATATTATCAATGTTCTAAATGTCAATATTGGATCATTCACAGCTGTCTTCTATACGACTGTCACAGGCCGACTGTCTCTGCTCAGAATAAAAATGTCACTTGTGAATTTATAGTTTCAGGACGTGTTTGACCTTCTGTCTCCATTTTACTTTTCAAAGCTGTGTCTCTTTTTTATCATCCGTTATAGATTTTTTTTTCCTGCAGGTTTTTACTTTAGTTGCAGAAAAACGAACGCTGGCTTCATTTAAAAAGTGAACTGGGTGGAAAATGGATCGTCACTTATTCAGAATAAACAGATCTCAAGGTTCCCTCTGTTTTTTGTGTCATTTGAAACAACAGAGTGAGTGAAACTGACTTCCTCTCTCTCTCACAGACTCCCACACAGGATCCAAACCACAAATGTGTTTTGACGGTTAGATCCAGAAACAAATCAAACACAACAGAAGCTTTGTCCGCCTGTCTCAGTCAATCTCTCTCTTGACGGACAAACACTTTCAAAACACGCATGTAGCAAGAAAAGAACTTTTATTTTAAAATAAAGCTGCGGTAAAAATAAATAAATAAAATGCTCCACTGGGAACTTCGGAACACCGAACACAGGCTGTGCCATGTTGTTGGGTCTGGTGCTAAAAGTGGGTCAAGAATCAACCCTGTGTGGGTCAAATATATGTGAACAAAGTGCGTTTATAGCCTTAGTGCTGGCCTCTGTACTAGATTTCTATTTCCTCCGGCTCTATCATCTTATTTTTCATTATGAAATATTGAGCTGACTGTGTTATTTATTTATTTATGCTTCTGTAGCTGTCTCCTGTTCTGATGCCAATTATGGTTCAAGTTCTGTCAGTGCAATTATTCTCACAAAACGTTGAAGGTTTTTAAAGACAAGGATGTTTTTTGTTTTGTTTTTTCAAGTTTGGAGGACGACCTACTGTACCGACATGGGGAACGGTTTTCCAGGTCATGTGTTCAAGACGCAAAACATTAAAAATAATTTTACCCAGTGAATAGAAGAATCCAACAACTACATCTATAATAAATAGGACACAGTGCAGCACAAACAATTCCCTCTAATGGGCTGTTGACAACAGGCAGCCCGAGTCACCTCAGCAGGGCTAGTGAGGCAGAAACATTAAATGTGTTGTTTAACTTCTGCATTTTCACAGATTGGTGGAGCCGAGTGAGCAGAAGGACGCACACGGGCATAAATATTCTACATCTACAGCTTCTGTGTTACTTGATTAAACAGGGTGTGTGTGTGTGTGTGTGTGTGTGTGATCTGGACCGTTTGCCTTTGTGGGGACCTCGCTAAGTAAATTGTTGTTATTGAGGAATTACAGCAGTTTGGAGTGAGGATTAGAATTAGGGTCAGATTACAGTAAGAATTAGGATTAGGCATATGTTTGAAATTGTTAAGATTAGGGTGAACCTCTTGGGATTATGGCATTGAAGCAGGATGTCTCAGTGATGCGCTCACATAGCACAAAAACCAACATGTGTGTGATTCATATCCGACCTCAGCAGGACGGTCTCCAACAGTCCAACAGTCGTCGGTGCGCTGGACTAAAACTAATTCATCGCTCCTGCAGTGACGGCCGTGTGTGTGTTTCCTCGCACAGACTGAAAATGTAATGACACCGGTGTCAAACCCTGGAGATACAGTGCGTCACGTGTTCATATTAACATGTCACGCCTGCCCAAGCATGTGGGGAGATAACCGGTGTTGTGAGCGACCGGAAGGCAGGGAACAAATGGAGTTCAGTCGACGAGGATGAGGAGCTGTCGTTTGAAAGAAAGCGATGACGCCGTGGCAGCCACTTTATTCTGGGTGTTTATCCTGGCAGTGGAGAAGCAAACCGTCTCCATCCTGCTGCAGACTAATTGCCATGAGATACAGAACCTGTGAAGGAGAGCAGCCTATACTTAACTTCCTCTTTTCAGAGTCTCAACAGCTGCTTTTCCTTTAACTCATAACTGACAAATTACAGCAGCTAATTGCTTGCTTCCTTTTTTTTTTTTTTACTCGCAGGTTCGTGTACGTGCTCCGATCGGGAGTCCAGATTTTGATTTGTTTTTGCAACTTTTTAGAAAATGTGGCACCATGTTTTAGCTGCCATCACGGGGTTGGCTGGGGATTATTGTGATCATGATTAATCACAATGAATCATAATTTTATCAGGATGAATCAACATTCCTTATTGTAATGTAATTGTAATACGACTGTTATTATAATGTAAATACTGTAAAAGAAATAACAGCAGGTAGATGTGTGTGTCATTGGAATTATTTATGTGGTAAACTGTCAAGAAAAACAAAAACTCTTTCCAGCAGTGTGTGTAAATAACATCACGTGTAACCACGGTGTTTTAGAGCAGCTATCAGTGAATGGATGGAGGAAGTACAGTATGTGGAATTTTTGTGTCAATCGACTACAAATCTACACTGCTCCAAATATTGTCCTGTATTTTTTATTGTAGTCAAACACAACAAACATGACTACTCCACATGTACGTGTGTTCAGAAACACACAAACCTGTTCTCCCAATCATTGAGACAGGAAGTAAACGCATCACCTAATAACGTTCTTGTTTCTGTCTGTATCACATTAATATCACGTTGTACCTACTGAGTACTACACACACGACTCACATCCTTCCAGGTGTCACCACAGCCTGGATCCCTGACGTCTGCTCCCACTGTACCACAGATACCAAGAATAAAGTCCTGTGTTGGAGCATCTTTCAACCGGCCATCCAATTTCAGCAAATCCATTTCAAGTCTCACATCTTGCCAAACTCTCATTAGGCCTGCTCCTCAGCACGTTATTGCATTATTGATTTCCATTCCCGTTATGTCTTTTGGAAGATTGCATTTTCATATAAGTAAAATGTCTACGAGTGTTTCCAGGGGAGCAGGCGGCGTACGCGTGGTTTACTGATGAGCGTGCGTTCAGATTCATCACAAAGTTCACTTCTGAGGTCGATTTCTTTGATACAGTCTCAGATTGTTTGTGCATCTATGCAAATTTACGCACAGAAACCCTAGATTTTATTACACTCTGTTATAGTACTCGCTACTTCTTTATAAGGTGTACCATCTGAACAGTACCTGTAAAGTACACTTTTATTTTAAAGTATCAAAACATTAACTTTACACAGGTAATCACTGACATACGGTACTGTACTGTTGGACAAACGCCAAACCGTATATTTGGCATTACTGTTGGAGTACATTAAGTACGTTGTACCAGAGTATTGTTTGCAGTAGGGCTACTCAGCCATTTCTCCCACTCTCCCACCACTTAGAACTACAGTTCCTGAGTACTACTCTGTACACAAGTTATGAAGAACTGTAGTAACCCTCTCTCTTTGTGTCTTTCTCTTTTCTTCAGCTTTAAGAGACAACAGGATTGAACTGGTGCGTGCGTCCTGGTCAGAGCTGACCATCAGCATCAGTGATGTCACACTGTCCGATGAAGGCATGTACACCTGTTCTCTCTTCACCATGCCTGTCAGAACAGCCAAGGCGTACCTGACTGTCCTCGGTAAGTACTGGACACAGACATGTGGTTGCCTCCTTTAAGTCAACCAATATTTAAGAACAAATGTGTGGATAAACATGTGTTCTTCTTTGGAGAAGTACTTTTTGCTGTTCCACTCATAAATCTGGGTATTTGCTAAAAGAAAAACAATAGTCTGACTGAGCACTGTGATCCAGTCATGATAAGGATTTCCTCCTCTGACTGATGTCACTACTGCAGTCTTAACTTCATCATTAGCACAATGTCATGGTGCTTTAAAAGCTGCAGCCTCACCCCCAGACCCATTAGCAGAGTTTTTTTAATGAAGAAATATTAGGAGAGCTGCAGCCAATGGCTATGACTGTAGGCTACGGTTCAAATATGATATTGAGGAAAATGTCGTGCAATATTAAACATCATTTGAGGATGTGTGCCAGGAACTGGAATGGGATTTCTCTTAAGGAAAGGGAGGAAGGAATGTAGAAAAAAAAGGGGCATATTTACGATATATTTTCAAATGTAAAGCAGCTGAGTTCGATTCTGTAGTGGTTATCACCCCTGCATGCACATCTGCCTTACACGCAGAAGGTTTTTTCTTGAATATCCTTATTTTACAAACAGTAAACTGAAATGATTTGGTTGAAGATGTTTTCCACCAACACAAACTCCACTGACGTTTACACTGTGAACCTCTTCAACAGTGATCCATCCGGTGGCTAACACTGTGCTTGTATAGATAGAAGAATTAGCCCATACACTTTAATTCCACAAACGATCAATTATTAGCTGTTGACTTGGATCATGATCTGCTGTAATGTCCTTCAGTGACCAAAGGAATGATCGTTTTCAGTCCAGTCTTCCTGGTTTTAAACCAGGCGTTAGAAACGAAGCCGTGGCTTCTGTTTCATGTCTCCAAAGCCCAGTTTGGTCATGCTTTAACAGCCGTGCACACAGAACTGCACCACAGCTCATACAAATCCAGGCTGCACAAATGAGGAGAGAGAGATGCACTCTCACATTATTCTACACACACACACACACGCAGAGTCACATACAAATAGGCAGAAGGATTAAAGCTTGGCCGCCCATGGGAAACTTGACTGTACGAGATGAACACTGTATTTCATCTTCTCTCTTTTTAGTTTTCCAGAAGACATAAAACATGCGCGTGAGTTTACTTCTCCACAAATTCGCACAGGCAAAACAATGCTTCGTTAGCCGCAGCGACTGACTTAATGTGCCATTTATTTGAACAAATTTACATAGGACAACATGGCGACTCCAAATTAAACACATACAGTAGAGTTGAGTTAGAAACAGAGGATTAGAGGGAAAAAGATCTCAGTGTTCAGGCTGATCAGCAGGGATTTTTGGGGTTTTTTTTCCTCTTCCTTTAAAGGATAAAACTTGAAAACAGTGGAAGCAGAAAGTGATGATAAAACATAACAGCAGCAGCCAGGACAAGGCCAGCGTCGGTCGATGGCATTGACTGACACAGCTTTCAGTCACTCAGCCTCAGGCAGACTTATTGCTCATTGACATTGCAGAGGTAGAGCCTCCACTGTTAAAACACTCATTATAAGAGAAGCCAATAACAAACATCTTCTGTCTCTTTACTTTAGACCAGAGCTGGACAGCGGATAAATTGCTAATAATTACATGATTTATTTTGCAATTAATTGCAATAAATCCCAACAATTAAGATTGAGTGCAAAATAATGGAATAATCAATTAACAATACTTTTTTTTTAAACTGCTATTTATACAGAACGTTTTTTTTGTAAACAGAACAAAATCCAACCGCTCCATTGACCCATGGTTATCAGCTGTAGCTCAGTAAGTAGTGCAGTTTTTATACACTTCAAGGGTTGTGAGTTTGATTCCCTACCTAGCAGTCAGTGCTGACCCCCTGGCAGCCATGCTGTCAGTGGGTTAGGGCTTTGAACTGTCTTCAGAAAAGAGTACAGACCTGTGTTCTAAAAGCAACAGACTCTAAAACAATAATAAGAAAAGGGCCATAAAATGATAATTGTTGTTAATCTATGAATGCAACAACATTGACATTTTATTAAAATAGCTGCCGACTTTGCAGTTCTTTGCAAAATTTTAGGCAGATATAAAAAATAATTCTTCACAGTAAATGCCCTTAAAAGAATTAAGTTTTTTATTTTTTAAAAGTTTAATATTTCCTGCTCTGACCACCTTTGCCTTTAACATAGAACTACGCTTCTAGACTAAATCTGTCCATTTAAAGACAAGTGCCCAGACTTTATTTTCTGTCTGATTTTGAGTTGACATCTTCAGGTTTTAAACCTGATGTGATGCGTCTTTTATGTGCTGCGTTATAATCTATTCTTATTGGGTCACCATCGCTGACCACCGCGTTAATGATGCTCAAAGAAATGTCCATTTGTTTGTGTTTCTTTAATAGAGCTCACACGTCACATCTTTTCAAATCTTTGCGTGAAGAACAGCCCTCTCTGATGCAGCACACCTGCCTTGGATCTTGTTGCCGTGCTCAGCGTTGCCATGGTGCACGACCTTGTTTTGTCTCAGATAGATCTACTGTTTGCTCACGCCGCATGCTGCAAAACGATACAAAAACACCCTGAAAACTGAAGAGCACTTTTACTTTACAGCAGTGGTTTCCAAAGTCTACCAACCTGAGCCTCTCTATATGAAGAATAAAAAATACAACTGCGCCCCCCGAGGGTGGTGTTCCACACCATTTGAACACCCCTGGTTCACAGAATTCATTTATAGTTGGCTTAAAGTTTTGCTCAGAACTGAGAGTTTTTGTGGGGTTTTTTTTCCAATCTGGCAACAGAAAGTTATAATCCGTAGTTTTTGCTGTAGAAGTAGAATAGAAAACAGAAGGGTTTGTAATTCATGTGAAGTGACCCATTGAGAAAAAAGATGGCTCACTGGTGTGAGACCATACAAAGGAGAAGCTGCTCAGGAACAGCGCTCTCTACTCTGTTGGATTATCTCCCTGCAGGAGCCTCAGCCAGAGACAAATTTCCAGTACGGAATGATCAGATTGTTGTTGACATACAAGTGTGTCCATTAGTTCCATCTCTGTGATTTTCCTCTGTGTCCTACAGGTGTACCACAGAAGCCAGAGATCGATGGCTTAACAAAGCCTGCAGTGGAGGGTGATCACATCACACTGACCTGTATGACTTACGGCAGTAAGCCCGCCGCCGACCTGCGCTGGTTCAGGAATGAGAAGGAAGTGAAAGGTTTGTAACATCTCACTTTGGAGTCAGGTGGAATTTAGAAATTTGACAATATTTACTCTTTTACGGGGCCACGTCTGGGTCAAATATTATGAATATAGTGCAGTACAGAGTTTTTGCCACTTTTATGTCTATTACTACTGTGCCAAAGATGGTGATTTATTTATTTAAAAAAACAAAAACAACACTGTTTCATTGATCTGACTCCCTGAGTCTGGTTCAGTGGATGTTTCAACTGTATATTTTTGCTCCAAACAAGTTGCTTCAGTTACAGCAGATTCAGCATGTGTCCTCTGGCCTGAGACAGATACATTAGCCTCCCTTGTTATCAGCGGTCTGCTCTAAATCACACCGACTCCGGACTCCTCGCCTCATTTCCACCCTGCCTCTGCTCCACTCTGCTCTGCTCCACCAACCGTCCTCTTTGTAACTGTGTGAAAGGAAGAGAGACCGACAGAATGACGGGATAAGAGGGAATATTAAAGGAGAGAGAGCTGGGGTCGTTGTCTGATGGATTTTTCTGTGGTTTTTTTTTAAAAAGAGAAAAACAGATGCGATTCCTTATAAAACACAGAGCGCGGCACGACAGGCTGTCACACATCTCCAGCACAGACGCAAAACTTTGTCAAGATTGATGTGCTGTTTCCAGTTGCATATTTAAGTCAGGTAACAAAATGCAAATCAAAAAACGTCTGCAAAACATTAAATACAGAAACAGAGCGTTTCTAGATTTCTCAAACTTTATTCACCGTGTACTACCGTGGAAAATATTTGTCTCTCTGAGTACCACCTGTATGACCAACACCGAAATACAGCAGCAGAGGCCGACCCCGTTCAGCCAAGACTAGTGGACAAAAAGAGAATTTAGCCCTGATGAGATCATTAGCCAAAGCTACACAACAATTAGGTAGAACCAACATACTGATGTTGTAAAAAGTTAAAATAAAAATCCCTCACGTACAACTAGAGGAAGCCTATGTACCATGAAAGGTAAGCAAGCCGTAGTTTGAGAACCACAAGCCTAAATCGTTCTCTATTACCTTATTATTTTATTTATCATCCTCACTTGAACACACCCAACTAGTTATTTCATTTTTTTTTTTTTTAGTTTTTAGCCTCGTCAGCACCTGGCACGTTGCCCTCTCTTCCCAGGCTTAGAAGTGAGCAGATCAGCTTGCTATTTAATTTTTGGGTTTCCAAGGGTCCAGATGAAGCCAGCAGATAAGCCAAAATCAATGCAGGGTTTTCACACAGCTTCGAGCAGATATCATGTTTATCTTGCTATTTAATTAACTGTAGCTGGGAGATGATATCGGTTCTTCGCCAACACACATTTATTCTGACTGCCCTCTCACTTCTACCGTTTTATCTCACACACAGTGATGTTGGACACATCTGAACCACATAAAGGCGATGGTTCAGTTGAAGTGAATTTGTAATCAGACAGCAATGTTTTAATTTTTCTTTTTTTAAAAAGATTAAAACCCTATGTGTACAACATTTAAATGCTAAGTATGTAGTTAATATAAATACTGAAAAATATCTCAGGTAGAGAACTTTTCACTGTTGTGCACAGATGTGACACACACACACACACACACACACACACACACACCCTCAGGCAGTCTGACTTCCTCTTACACCACACATATAAACCAGGTAAAAAAAACAACAACAACAACAAAAACAAACACGCTGTGCGATACAATACGTCATTACACAGGATGTGTGTATGTGTGAACGAACGCATGTGAAGGTTTACGTGAGCGCAGATAAAGTGTTCATCATCCTGACAGGATCAGGGTGTGTTCAGTGTGAAATCCCTCTGATTGCGGGCGACCATGCTGGGACTAAATGACAAATGTGACATATTGATGTGGGATCTGTGGGAAAAGAGATTATATTGCCGAGAGAGCCACCGGAGCAGTCCATCACCCGTTCACATGCACGGCAGAATGATATGCTAAGTGTGTGTGTGTGTGTGTGTGTGTGTGTGTTTGCAGGAGAAAGAGAGCAAAGGAGGCAGACGGAACAGACGGCCTCCATGTAAGGACATAAGCTTGTGCGCGTGGAACAAAATCCAATATTCTGATTTCTCAGTCTCTTTGTCCCTCAGATCCCCCTCAGTCCCCACCCAGTAATGATATATTTCTATCTCAGTTACACATCGTAACCCAGGGAGGCCTCTGCCAATATCACCACATGTAGCACTTGTTTACACACCACTGAACCAGAGGGAGCCGTGTGGAGACTGAGGAAGGCAGAGACCCAATGAATATTTATTTCCAACCAGGGTGGGGTGGATGTTCGCTATCTGACTAGTATCATCACACTCTCTGACCTAAAATGTGGAGGTTATTGCTTCATCATCTTAGATGCGATAGCTGTATTCCGAGGAGGCTTAGCGGGAAAAAGGAATACAGACATTGGATTCAGATTTGCACGATCACATCTCTACTCTGAAGCCCAACTTATGAGTCAAGGACAGGGAAGTTTACTGCGAGAGTATTCGCTCCTTTAGGTTGTTGTCGTCTGATATTAAGGGGCCGACATTTGTTCAAGCCCAAATATGGAACCATGTGGCCGTGTGTGAACCTGAAATGTTAATAAGATTCAAATGAAACTTCTGGGCATTTTCTTGTGCTTTGAGAGTTTTTATTTGGCATTGAGTATTTTGTGAGACTGACTAATCCTGTATTCTTCTTAAAAAGTCAGTTGTGGGACCTTGGTTACTTTTCACCTCCCACAGAGTGCAGTGAATCGATGACCATTAAAAATGTAATTTCAGGATGGTCTCTGGTAGAAACAGTGACATGAATAAAAGATGCCCAAGTGGTTCACACAAAAATAAAATATTCACCCCATCTGGTCTGTGTACAGGATCAGCCCAAACACAGGCTGTGGCATGACGACGGTGAAGGAAGTGAACACCGAACAGAGTTGTCTGCTTCACTTTTTAATTTCATCACCTCGATTTAATATTCTCGCCAACAAGTCTGACTCATTCTCCCCTCGAAGCATAAGAGTGTGTGATCAGGTTAACAGCCTTGGACGTCAGTGCTGTGAAGCAACATCATAATGCTACACCCAGCGTCCGCGGCCATTAGGAGCAACAGCACGGAGGTGGAGCAGCTGTCCACTTTCAAATGCCAAGACACCGAGACCAACCGGGGTTTCCAGTGTGTAAAGTAAAAAAAATGTCACAGGAAAAGCTGAGGGAATTTTAAGGCAGAGAGGACATTATGATACCTTTCTGTCAGGCCCTGGTAGAACAAGCACTCTCCTAACATTTAAGGAACCCAAACACCAGCCTGTGGGACAGCGCTTCAGTTGAATAATAATAATAATATATATATATATATATATATATACATGTGCCTTCAGATACTTTATTTTATTCTGTGAATTATGACTAAGAAGATAAGATGACAA